CCGGGAGCAGAGGTCCAGCTGAACTGATCTTCAAAGTGTTCCGCCCAACGAGCCATACGGCGCTCCTTATTGTGTATCAGCGCACCCGCGCTGTCTCTGATTGTCTCACTGACGCCTGGTTTCCTGGGACCAGTGGTGCGGATTAGCTGAAAGAGCTTGCGGTAATTGCCTACTGCTCCTGCCTCCTCCATTTCTTGAGCCCGACTGATCCACCAGGCTTCCTTGTCAGCACGTAGACTCCGCTTTAGTTCACGCCTAATAGCCCGTCTGGTCACACTGTGTTCAGAACCAGCCGGGAGGTGTCTTCTAGCTTCCAACAGGTTCACGGACCTCTCGGATATCCAGTGATTGGTGCGGTGACGACTGACAGTGCCACAAGCAGATGCTCCTGCGTGGTGCATGGCAGCCGAGATCTTATTCCACTGAAGTTCAGTGTCATTAGGACAATACAGCGAGAGTTCGGTATGCAGTGTGTCTTGGTAGGCTTGCCTGACCGAGGGCTGGGACAATTTCTCCGTTGCCAATCGGAGGAGACGCTTTGTGCGTCTTCCGGTAAAGTTCATGGAGAAACGACAGCGCACCAAGGCATGATCAGAGTCAACACAGGTACTCCAGTACGAGCGGCAATCCAGAATGGAACCGCGCCACCTGCAACTTATGGCTATATGGTCAATTTGGGTCCATCGCTGGCCAGCTACAGGTGGATGCCAAGTGGCACTTCTGCGCCCACTGTGTCTAAAAGCAGAGCTAGTAAGAAACAACTGGTGCTCCGCACACAGTTGCAGCAGATGCTCACCGTTGTCAGTCCGTTCGGAGTTAAGTCCATAATTACCACCCAGCTGAGCTTCTGAAGAGCTCAGACGCCCTACTTGTGCGTTCATATCCCCGCAAGTACTATAATATCTGAACTAGTAGCACTGCGTAGTAGGGCGTTCAGTTCGTGATAAAAAGTGCCCTTGACTGCATTAGAACTGAAGTCGATGGGAGCATAAACGGAAAGCACAAACAAACAGCGTTTTCTTCTACTTCGCGAATTCACCTTAGCTGATGTCGTCAAAGGGGCTGCACATAAACGGCTGTTCACCGGAATCCAATCAACCAACGATGACTCAGCCTTGGAGCTTAGAATGATATCTACACCAGCTTGACCCGTGAGTGCTGCATCGGCGTCTCCGGATGCGTGCAACCAATAACGAGAGGATAAGCCGGGTGCAGTTAATTCAATAACCCCGTTAGGGTCACTGATCCTAGTTTCGGACACACAACACACATCAACACCCAGTGTGTCCAAGGTGCGTGCGAGTGCAGCCTGCTGAGCTGTTTGTTTTAGAGTGCGGACGTTGAATGCCGCCATGGAAACGGGACAGCGTGGCCTTATAAGGGACTTTTGCCGATAGGCGTCCGATAGGTGCTGTGGGATGGTGGCTGCAGATGGTTCTACTCCAGTAGCACTTCGGTTGCTGTCAATTAAGCTGGGAATTATAGAAGGAAGGTTAGTAATGGGGGTCGGGATGGGAGTAAGAGAAAAAGGTGGAAACGAAAGAAGGGAGGCGCCAGCAGTAGCATGTTTTCGCTTATCCGCCCTGCTGTATGCAGCAGATAAGGCGACCCTTGATAATCTGCGCGACGGCCGATGCAGGATGAAGTTTATGTTTGAAGAAAATGACATGGTTGTATGTGGGCGCCCAGACCTAGACAGGAGGACGATTAGAGTCCTCATCCAAAGCCTTTGGCTCAAAAGCCTGTCCGCAAGGCAGCGAAGAGGTGGCAATGATTTAGTTTTACAGAAATGGGCGCCATCCCATTTCAAACCCGCAACCTGGATGACCAGGAGACTGAGTTTGTCTGACCACTCACCATTGACCAACCTGATAGGAGTAGCTCTCAAGATGCTCGGAGGCATCACCCAGTATAGCTCAATGGGTCAATGAGGTACGCAAACCGCCGCACCACGTTAAGGTCCAGTCTCGTTGCGACGGACAGCTAGGTAACAGTCCAAAGATTTCCTGGAAAGACGAGATTTATGCAATGAGGAACTGTCATAAGCATGTCTGATAGTAAAACATAAGAAACAGCACTCTGTCTCAAAGAAGATTGAGATAGCAGCTTCATGATACACTTGCAGAAATATATGTATTCTAAGACCAACCAAAATGCTAAACGATCGATTGTACCTACATGTTTAGATGCGCACTTGTTTCTACCGATGCTAAGTGTTGCTGACAATCTCAGTGAGACAAATTTCAGGAGTATGAGCATGCCAAAATGGTTTCACAACATAGCCTTAAGACACGCAGTGAAAGCATTTTGCAGTTGTAAATGCCGTCCGTACTTAGCTTAAGTCGATTTCCGTAGCGTCATAACACTACTACGTATGCAAAGCCATGCGTGAAATACTCTGTGGATGATTTGTCCTGTCGCACTGAGACGGCATGCGGCACGAAAGCTGGTCACCCAAAGGAAGCCCAGTTGGCTGGGCATATGACTATGACCGGTGACGATAGCAATGCAGTATCTTACGGTATATTTGAACATATCACGCTATTTCTTCCCTCATTTTCTTCATGTTTCTGCGAAGGGCCGATAAGGTCAAGAAATGGGACGACTGAGCGCACAAATGTGTCGGCAGAACAATGCACAAAAGCCCTGTCAGTTTCATCGGACAGCCGGTCATTCGACTACAGTCTCAACTAGCAAGGAGGGTAGCTAAGAAAATGGTAAAAATAAACAATAAGAAAACGGCACAGTATAAGACAATGGCAAAAATTTTGAAGTTGAATAATAATATGATTGTGTGCAAATTTATCCACATTCGTCAACGTAGTTGTTCTCGGTAGTAACGCAACCGTCCAGTAATGTAACCAGGTGTTTTCACATATACCGCATTGTAGCTTTTCTATGCATTTCATATCCCGTTTGCTGCGAACAATTTAAGAGTCTGATTTTTATCCGAATTGGTTTGAAAGCGGACGAGTAGGACGCTTACCGGACACACATGTCGGACTAGCGCGAGCAACACAATGACTAATTTTTATCAGCGGCTAACCCAAAGAGATTTACTTCGACCAAATAATGGTCGCTAAGAAAAATATTTCCAGTACACCCGACACCCTTGCCGCACGATTGTCACATAAGTTCAATCCATGTACTGACTACGCATTTTCCGAATGCCAATCGGATAGGCGAAAACCGGATGTGGTAGTCAGGAAAGCCAGCGTACATGCAAGCAAACAATGTATTACACATTTTATGCACGCCGGGTACCATGTCATAATGGAAAGAACACACTATGAAGTAAAGGAAGACGTATAGGTCCACAAAAACAAGCTACATAGTACCCAAATAAAAGAGTAGCGCAACTGCCATAGAACCTATGTCACTTTTCATTGTATACCCAGGACTAATTATTTCGTAAAAAGTGGCTCGATTTGAGTCCGCAACCGGACGGCTACGCGTCCAGTGGTTACGATAGGAGTGGTATGACGAACAACTTCGTTAAAACTGTGTCGAGCTTGAAGGCCTGTCTAATGATATTTGGTTATATTGCGCTATTAAGCTTAGTGTTTTCCTCATACCCATGTGAGTAATCGAAAGCAAGCTCAACCAGGACGCCGGCACAACACGAGTGATTAACGTACATACCCTGAAGTGAACATTTCGGCGCCATGAGTGATTGTCTCGTGTTTCTGGCTGTCCAAATGAAATACATTTGAATCGAATTTCGGTCACTAAGAAAAAGTATTGCAGTCCATCCTTAACTCATGCGGTTGCAAATACTTTAAACACACGGTGTAAACCGGTTCAGGAATCGTCATAACGCAGTATTGTAGGTGCTAAGCCACACCAAAACTTTTGTGTGACCGAAACACATCCTGTCTCAATGGGACGGACAAGAGCAAAATAACAGTCACTCAGCAGCAACTTAACAATCACTAGCGCTGACAATAAGTGAGATTTTATTAGACTATTAGGGAACCGGAGGCGTTAAAAAGGCGTTGTAACAACTATTAGCATATTTTGACATAAAGTTTGATTAGTATTTTCATCCCTAGGAGTGATCCTGTCCACATGAGTGACTAAAATGTGTCTGCTGGAGTGACCGTTGGAGCTCACAGACTGAACAATTTTTGTTTTTTCGGCCTTCCCACCTGGACACATTCTGGGCGATGTTCAGTCACGCACAGTGATTTTTCTAACGCAGCGTTACTATATGCCTTGAATGCATCTTTTCTAGTTGTAAACACTGTCAACATTGATCTGAAATCGATTTGCAATTTGTTAGTGCATCATACCGTAGCCATTGAACTAAACCGAAAATATTAAGTGACCCAAATTTGACCGAAGTGTTTAATTGGGACGGCCGGGGGAAGGAAAATTGGTTACATAGGGAGGTCTAATGATCCAACGCGCTGAGCGAAATTGCAATTTTCTTAAAATGTACCGCCTTTTAGGCATCGCCGTTTGGTAGGGCCTGATAGGATGTCACGCTTTGATCCGGCGTGCATTCTGGTTAAATGCCATACAAACCCAATACAGCTAGACTAACATGTGAACCCAACCAGCTATAAGGTTGTTAAATCTTTTGTCATGGGTCATGTAGAAACATGTTAGTACAATGTTCCAACGACATTGCTAAGCCATGTAAGCTCATTTGACGAAGTATCTAAACACACCACGCTATTCACTATCAAATTTGCTTTCTACTTCTGCAAATGACCAAAAACATGCCCAAATGGGAAGGCTGGCAGAGTATTTGTACGGACAATGGATCAAACATATCCAAATTGGGTTTGACCTAACATGTAGCAGATAAATGAACAGTACCTAAAGATGTGAATACACTAGCATCTAAAAAAATAAAGTACTTGATATTTTACGCCGATCGGTGATCGCCAAATAACAGAAAGCTAAAACTACACAGCATCTGAAAAAAGCAGAAATGTGACGCGTGTCCGACTTCATTGATGAGACAGGTAACAAAAATGCACAAAAAGACTGACCAAGTGCAAGCAACTTTATGAGATAGTCGTAGTCATCCTCCTGACGATCCGCGTTATCGTGAAACAGAGTATCACCCATAAATGGTAGAGGGATTGTCCGAATGGCACAATATCGAAGAAGTGCTCCTCAGACGGACGTGCTGCAGTACATATTTGACAAGACTACCGGATATGTCCTCAAACAGCGGTACTGACTAGTTCCTTGATACAAACATTGCATTTGAAAAAGGCTTTCTTTGAAAATGAAACAGCATTGTATCTAGTCAATATTACATAGATTGATCTACGTTCACGTGTTATCATTAAATTTTCTTTCTACTATTGTATAAAGTTTGTAAATAGTGGCTTTGTTTACTAACATAATACAAGGAAAATTATTTTATATCAAACGGCTCTTTATAACTTTGTCTAATTGCTGTACTATATTGCGGTACGCAACCGTATTTCAAATTCTCCCGCCTACGTTTAATCCCACGGACCCAACTGAAAGCACAATGAAATTATGGATCGGCCGCCACAACCTTGGATAATCCAGACCTAGTAATACAAAACAATATAACAAAAAGCATAAGGTGTAACTAACCCTCCCCTATAAATTTATAGACAGCGCTGTCCGCACAACAACCTTAAATATAAGCACATTTCCACTATATAGTTCAAAAAGTCTTGCTATTCACACGGTTATTTATTAAATGCGCAAGTTGAAAGGTTGTAAATATGCTTTGAGTTCAGCTTCTCCCAACATAAACGTGCCCTTACACATATATGGGTGGCTGCATCCGGTTTAACATTTGCCTGTTACTGTGGTCAGCCACAGAACGCCTGCGCCTTCAGATGGACCGTGGATGGCTTGCGCCGCACCACTCACAGCTCCAATCACGCACCTCACATCCAGTGTAAACCCGAAGGAATAAAACCACGAGGCATGAGGGTGGGAGCCACGTTTCCTCAACGGAGCCGACCCACACTCATTTACTGGCAAACACAAGCACGCTGTATTTGGGGAATCAAGCGCACACAAGGCGGTGGCTGGACCGTAGTCCGCTCCACACTGAATGCATTTAATCGCTTTTCGAGCCTAGCACGTCCACAAGGACCGTGCACCCTGTCCTCTCTAGCAACAACAAAATGTCTCCTGGAGCCAGTATGAACGTGGTATTGGGTAATAGACAGGTAGGCGCCTTGTCAACATGCACATCAAGCGCAGCCACACCGGGGATGCCAAGTAACAGCCAATCACTTGAAACGACATGATGAAATAAAACAAGTCCAATAATGCTACACATACGGAGCCATACCTGTCCGCTTAAGTAACATATTAATTAAGTTGTTGAGCAACGAACCCGCGATAAGGAAAATTTTTCACAAGGTACTTGAGCATGCTACAAACGCAACTAGTTATGGAATATTAGCGCATTTAGGGAAATAAACGTGGCCAGTTAATAGAAGATTATTCAGGTAGGCAGAATAAACCAAGTATAGTGGAATGAACTTTTGCCAGCTTTAAATTCCTCGTTTAAGTGTACGTTGGTTTAGCCCAACTGCGGTGAAGAGGCATCAATAATGCAACATCAGCCTCGGCATGGGGCACATATATACTGTCTTGGTAACACTGTACCATGCTATTGCTACCAGTTCCCTTTGCTCTAACAGTTAGTTATTGGAATCTGATTTGTATAACCGCGATGCGTACGGAAAGTGCTTTCTGATACGGCCATAAGTGGTTTCCATATTAGCTGACTGTTCCTGTTATTAATGATGAACAGCGTTCATTCCATGTCTTTGTTTGGATAGACAGCTTTGCAATTCGGTTGAAGGTATTTCTGTGCCAGCTCAAACAACAAGTTTAAAAACGCTTGCTACTTTGATTTTCATGACTACAGTAAAGTAAAGCTGCCTCGTTAGTGCCAACTGACGTAACGCTGCCAAGCATGCTGTTCACCTTCCTATGCAACCCCTCTTCTGTCTTTGTAAACTTATCTGCGGAGGCGTGCGGAGGTGCTCTGCTGTTGGCTGCTAACCTCTACTGCTCTTCCCAGCGTGTTTGCTAGCAGGCTGATTCTACGTTGCTTCTTGATGTACCTTCTTACTAGTCCCTTATGTTTGACTTTCGATCATCTAAGCTCTCGCTGCTTTCCTTTGCTGGTCGTCGGGTCTATTCCAACTCACTCTTGGTGCCCAATAAGGAAGCACCTTCCCCTATGAATAAGAGGAAGGTTACCCGTTTTCCGACGCTGCCAGCTAATTTGACCTGAGCATTCTTAAAATAGCTGGTAAAACTGACGACCGAAAGCGGCTAAAGGTACAACATTTAAATCCCGCTAGCACACCATTCGCAACAAGCCCTGCTGGAATCAACTCTGCTTTTCTTCGCACGCACTGGCCTCTCATCGCCATTCTGAATTCAACCGCGCCGGGCAAGTACTGTCTTGGTGCCGATTATGATTATTGGGATCGAAAAGGGCAAGCACTTAGCCGGTTTCAGGAACACGAAAATGTACTACCATGCCTAATCTCCGTAGCACTGATGCGTACCTCGCAGTACCTGTGGAAGAAATTGGCAAGCTTCCAGTCGACGAACAATTTTTCACGCAACTTACGCCCGCGAAGCTGCCCAACTTCATGGTTGAGATTAGAGACGGATGATTCTCTAACCAGTACAAGTGTATGTGTTGCATATTACCTTATTAGTTTTGGCGTTGTGAATACTCAGTACCTAAATACCCCAAAGACAACCAAGCAGGTGTTAAGCGGGATGTTCTCACACAGGCTGCGCAGCTAAAGTAATACCTTGATTTCGGCATGAACTTCTGTTGGGACCTCTAGCAGGATAGGGCAGGAGACTCTGTGGCCTGCAGAAAATACTAAAATATTTACTCTGGTCTGCCAGCAGGAATAATGAGTGCCCCTCGAGTAGCGCCTGTCTAGTGGAACAGGCATGCAGAATCCGGCAACTGGCCAGAAGTGCAAGAGCACAAGTTTGCAATCAACCGCATTTGATGGAGCAACCAACTTCCCAGTGCGCCAAACATATCCATATGGTAGAAGGTTTGGTGCGGCGACGTAAGCCTGTGCACCGAAGGGATTCTATAAGCCCAAGCGAGTTCATTTGGTGGGCCTACCATTGCTAACTCCTATGCTGCAGCCACCCATATCATGTTCGGGTATAGGTGTGGTGGTGGGATTGCGACCTTATTGGACACCGAGGCTGCTTGCTCCATGGTCCACAAGCGATTGTTACCGCGGAATGATATTGTCCATCCAGATAGATCAGTTGGTTTAGTGGCTACTGCTGCCTCCACGATAAAAACTTCAGGCTGGACCACTGCTGCGGTACATATAGGCAGTACTTTATTTAACCATGGATTCGCACTTCTAAAATTTACTGTGGTATGTTGTATTGTGTCTTGTACTGTACCTCGGGGGCGATTCCAATACAAAAGCTACTACCTAATCTCCCAGTGGAACTACCGAACTGTATTACTAACGAAGCGATAAATATTTGTATACATTACCAGCAAGGGTTCTTGTGAGCTAAGGACGGTTTAAAAGGATATAAATTTATATTGCACAGCCCTCAAACAAGTAAAGCATCACGGGTAAGCCAAACACCGCGGCTTGTGGCGAACCACTGAAGGCAATATTTGAAAGGCAGCACATATTCATGCGCTTACGTAACCGATCCTCCCAGTCACTATGGGTTGCGCCTGTCCTCATTATCAAGAGGCAAAGCAGTAAACTGCAGTTTTGCTTCACGTTCCGCAATTTGGACGCGGCTGCGCAAAGGAATTCGTTTCCGTTTGCAGGAATGCTTGAGTCTATGGACGCGCTTACTGGGTCGCGCTGGTTTTTCGCGTTTTAGCTTGTGTTCGGTTATTGGCAAATCGAACTTTATTCGGACGACAGGCGCGAGTGGTCCATTTCATCGATTGAAAGAGGTTGTGCAGAATAAGTAAGCTGTGCTTTTCGGTGGTTCCGCCTCGGGGTCTTGTGGCAGCGCCCAGTTGTTTTCAGTCGATTTCAAGGGTTGTATAACGTCTCGTTGGCGGGAGAGCCTACGGTGGGCTGAGGCTGGTGGTGGCTAGATCCTGACAGATGGTCTACCCACTGCTGCTACTGTTGCGCCATAGTCTTCTGTCCTGGGCGCCTCCACGTGGCGACCGCTGGGTGGTAGTTGGATTTTGCCCTTCTCCCTGATAAGATCCAGGACACCAATCCGCATGAGTAGGCTAACTGACCATGTGCTAGACCCGCTGCCTTACGGGTGTTCATTTAATCGATGGCTTTGGCTGAGGACCCGAGTCGTTCTCCCATGAGGTTTGGGCGCCCTGGCAGTATCCTAGTCCATCTTTTCCGGAGGTTAGGAAATGGTCGATGGCCCTCTTCCTGTAAAACCTGGCCATGGGAGACAATAGGTTTACGGGTTATAATCTCACAGCACGATTGGCGTAGAGCACGAGGGCCACGCATTGTCTCTGACGGTGGGAGGACACCTCCGGGTGTTCAATGGTTTGCTACTGCCCGCCTCAAACCAGGCAGCCCCTGGTCAAATTGGTGCAAACCCGCCAAAAACCCACCTGCGTCTGGCCGTGGTTGCAGGTGAGTATCCAATTACGGTCGCAAAACATATGATAATTGTTCCAGAACCTCAAAGGCTGCGTGTGACGGCCGTCATGCAGATCCTAATCTGTCTCTGCAATCACATTCCCGAGCTGGATCTGCTCTCCACTGCCTTGTGGGTCAGGCTATTGAGCCAAAGGCTCCGGGTGGAGCCCCTCAAGCAAACCTCCGAAGCACAACGACCACCTCGCATGCGATTGCCTACCAATGCAATCGTATGCCTGCGCGCAAAGCACTCGGCATCGGGTGCTGGAACGTGCGCACACTACTGGACCGGAACTCGAGCGAGCGCCTGGAACGACGCACTGCACCGGTCGCAATGGAGCTGGCGCGCTACCACATCGATATTGCGGCGCTCAGTGAAACTCGGCTCGCTGAGCAAGGTAAGTTACATGAAGCAGGTGCTGGCTACACATTCTACTGGGTGGGGAACGCCGCCTCAGCACCACGTGATCATGGGGTCGGATTTGCAATATCCGATCGCCTCCATGGCCGACTGGTGGGTGAACCAACGGTCATCAGCGCGCGACTGATGACTGTTCGCCTACGACTCGGAAGAGGTAAGTTTGCTACTTTTATAAGCACGTACGGTCCGACCATGTGTTATCCTGATGACACGCGTGATCAGTTCTACACTGAGCTACCTAC